TGAACATATATTGAACGTATCATCCGCAAACACAATACTTAAAAGTTATGCAAATTAATAATGTAGGTTAATAAAAGAAGTGGCCCCAAAAATTGATCCTTGCGCAACACCACATGAAATATCTAAAAGATTTTTGTGATAAGGATTGTTAAAAGAAACAAATTGTTTTCGGTTTATTAAATAACTTTTAAACCATTTTAAAAATACGCCATTCAATTCATAATATTTAAGTTTATGAATCAAAAAGCCTTGATTTATTATATCATATGCTTTTGATAAATCTAATAAAATACCTAGAGTGAATTGTGAATTTTTAAAAGAGTTAGAGGTTTCACAGACGAATTGGATAATTGCATTCTCAGTGGAACTGCTTTTTTTTAAACCAAACTGATTTTTATTTAAAAAATTCTTCTCTTTAAAATAAGTATATAATCTATAGTATATAATTTTTTCTAGTATTTTTTAAAATGTTGATAAAATAGAGATAGGTCGGTAGTTACATATATTAGTTCTGCCTCATTCTTTGTATATTGGGATTATCTTAGCTATTTTTAACTGATCAGGAAGAAGTCTTTGTTGTAATGACGCTTTCAAAACTTTAAAGAGAATATATTTTAATTGTTCAAAGCATTCTAAGACTATGTTTCCATTTATTTCATCAGCTCCAGTGGCTTTTTTTTCAATAGATTTAGATGACATTTAAAACTCCTCAATAATAGCTCAGAAGATAGTTTATTGGAGTAAATGCAATCATCCATCGGTGTTAAAAAGTTATTGAACACAACTTGAGTATTAGGAATTTTATTTGCCAGTTTGGAATCAATGTCAATGAAGAATTTGTTATACTAATGCGCTATTAATCTAGGTTCAAAAACATCTTTGTTATCTACTCTAATCACATGTGGTAGGGAACCTGAGCTAGTTTTTTGTTTTCCACTTATTTCTCCTAATATTTTCCAAGTGCGTTTAGATTCGTTCTTAACATTTTCAATTAATTTTAAGTAGTAATTCTTTTTTAAGTTTTTACAAGTTTTTTTCAAATAGTTATTTGTATTCTTTGTATAATTTTTCATTTAAAGGTGTTTTTGTTTTTTTAAAAACAAAAACACCTTTTTATAATAATAACACCTTTTTATAACAAAAACACCTTTTTATAATAAATTACTTAAAAGTAATTTATTCATAGCTTTTGTTTGATCTTAGATGATTTTTTAAAACCCTTAGTTATCTAAGGAGCATTTAAACTTTTTTGATTTATTGTTTTTAAACAGGTAGAAAAATTGGCATCATAGACAGAATAAAATTTTAAAAAAAAAAATTCATAAATTTTATTTGCGTCACCGTTAAAATTTATGTTTCCAATGAAGCGATGATAATTGTTTCTTAAACTGTTCAATATTCTTCATATTATAAATCCGTTTACTTATTTTATTATTAGTTTTGGTTTTAGTTTTAGAATTTGAGTTGAATAATAGAAATGTTGGGAAATGATCAGATATATATCCGCTTTCAATATACCTTTTTGTATATTGTTATTAAAAAAATTAGTTGTAATAATGTTATTAATGAGAGTTGCTGTGTTTACTCATACTCTAGTATCGATTAATTAGGGGAACTAATTAACTAATTAATTAACTAATTAATTAACTAATTAATTAACTAATTAATTAACTAATTAACTAATTAATTAACTAATTAATTATTCTAATTAACTAATTAATTAACTAATTAATTAACTAATTAATTAACTAATTAATTAACTAATTAATTAACTAATTAATTAACTAATTAATTAACTAATTAATTAACTAACTAATTAACTAATTAATTAACTAATTAATTAACTAATTAATTAACTAATTAATTAACTAATTAATTAATTTAACTAATTAATTATTCTAATTAATTATTCTAATTAATTATTCTAATTAATTATTCTAATTAACTAATTAATTATTCTCCAATTTCAAATATTAAATCATAAAAAGTTTTTCATTTTCGTAGTTTAAAAAAGTTTCGGATCGGCAATAATAAAATATTTTTTCTTTCTTAAATGACTATTTTGATAACATTTTGTTCAAAAAAAGTGGTCAGATTCTCGCTCAGACCGTCAGGTGGTTGATAACAGCAGCTTAGTAATATATTTGTAGATTCATTGTTTAAGGTTTCATTATTTAAAATTTCTCTATCGCCCTAATGTAATGTGTATTGGTTTCCTTCATATAAGAACTCCGCCACCGCGTTTATTTGTGTTTCTCTCTTGATATATGAACTCAAAACGGGGAAGATAAAAATTCCAGTCATTACTTAAATACTTAACTAATTAATAATCCAGATAATTACCGAAGAATTAGTATTTTACCTGTCTTTACTTAACTTCTAGAATATCTAATACTACTTATATGTCCTAGTATAGCAGATAGCCATTCCCATCAGTTTGGTTTTAAAAAACAGCTCTACACTCTACGCAGAATTTTTATTGAGCAAAACTGTTAAGCATTATAAAAAAAATAACACGCCTTTATATGCAGTTTAGATGCAAATAAAGCTTTTAACACTTGCAACTGGGATTTGTTATTTGAGAAGAATTTCCAAAAAAAGCTTCTGTAGTCTATAGTACACACAGTCTCGTCGCTTTATTTTTTTGGTACTGCAAATATATTCTATCAAGGAATTACTTCAAATCAATTAAGTCTACCACGAAAAGGGTCTATTCTATCAAATTTACATCTCAATTTCAATCGGTTGCTCTAAACTTTCTCTAAACTCTAGACTAAAAAAACTTTTTTTGAGTATTTTAACAAACATTTTCCTTTTATTAAATTGCTTCATTAATTTTAAATTTTAACTATTGCGTATAATTATTTAATTTGCATATATTTCAACATTTTTATAACTATGTCTAGAGTTTAACAGGTAGCCCGTATATATGCTTTTTAAATTATATAAATATATATATATATATATATATATATATATATATATATATATATATATATATATATATATATATATATATATATATATATATATAATGCTTATTATAAAAATATAAAGAATGATTTATTAAAAACAAATTTTATACAGTGTGTTTTTATGTAATAAACTATAAGTTGACTTTCAAATGCTGCAAAGTATCATTACCCAGTTTTTAGACATTTTTGTTTTACAAAATAGCCTACAGAAAAGTATGAAGTATATCTTTATACAACTAGAACATTCTTTGCATAATGAATGCAAAATTGTTTATAATCCTCGTTACAGGATTCTTACGCATTTTCTGAAAGTTTACCGAAAGGAAATAATGCAAAATGGTTTATGATATTTTCTCCGTGAAGTAAAAATTTGTGTACTGAACACGGTATATAGTACCATCCATAATTACTCACATAAATGTGGGCAGTTTTTGTTGCATATGTACCAAAACTTTTAGCATTTATTATAAAACCAGAGGATAGAACTTGTGGAATTATATAAAGCCGCTGGATTAAGTTTTCATTGACAACAGTTTTTTATTTTTTTATTTTAGTTATTTCAAAAAGCAGTTTACATTGTAAAAAAATCTCCGTATTACCTTCATCGGTATCAGCACTTACGTGTTTGTCGATGATTAGCCTTAGCTTTTTTTGTCGATGTAGTGGGTAGCAGGTCTGTTTATTTTCTTGCAGTTTGTGGGTGGGTAGCAGGTCTGTTTATTTTCTTGCAGTTTGAAATATGGTGAGAATATGGAAAAGTTTTGCTCGTTTATCAACTTCCACAAGTATAAATATTGTGCTTTTTTCAAATCGAAATCAACAAACACGCTGAGTGCTTCTTCCTTCATCAACAAATTTTGTCAACATCAATTTTTCTTTTTTTTACTGGGCTCTGACAAATCTCCATAAGACATGTACGCGTTTTTCAAATGTTGTAGGTGGCGTGAATTCTGTTAATGCTTTTTTCAATTTTGGTAAAAATACTGTATATTCAAAATAAAACCAAATACTGTTGTTAGATTAAATGCTTTTGTTTTCCGTGAAGTTTTCGCTCATTGTTTATTAAACTACGGAATAACGTTCCTTTCAATATCACTTACGATAAAACACAAGTTATCTTGATGGTTTTTTTTAATTATTGATTGTGTTGAATTTTTTCTTCCTCATCAATATAGTAAAGTAGCAATTTACGTCTTGAATACTTTAAAGTTGGCATTTTAAGAAGTACCAAAGTATCATAAGCGAGAAGTTCCGAGTTCGATCCCCACCTCGTCCCTGGTAGTACCGCGCTCAACTTGTTTCTCCACGCAGCGGCCTTGTTCGTCGAGGTTTATGTTTCGGAGTAATAAAGTTGAGAGAGGGTTGTAACCACAAAAGTAGTTTCCTTGACCGTGGCCTTTTCGGCTTGGGGAGGTAAATAATTTAAAAAAAAATTAGTTGTAGATTTAATTTTCGTGTTGGTTTAACTTTCACTGTGATTTTTTTTATTATTTACAAAAACATGAATCAGTTGGGCTCCAAAATTTATTTTTACATAAAATTAGCTAAAATTCCAACATGATATTAAAGATTAGCAACTAAACTATTAAATAGCATAATTGAAATTTTAACAAAAAACATGATGTTTTAATACTATTTCCCACAGTGAGTCCCTCTATATAATGTAGGGTTTTTCAAATAGTCGTGGCGCGGTGGTTAGAGTTTTGACACAGAACGAAAAGGTTTTAGGTTTGATGCCGGCTCTAATCCAATAAGCAATATTGATAAAAAAGGAGAACTTCCTGATTAAATGTTCTACGCGGTACTCTGTTAAGGTGCTCCATGAAGACCTTGAAGGTCTTCTTGGAGTACCTAAATAACTAATCTAATAATAAAACAAAACTTTTAAATTGAAAGAATGATTTATTAGTGAATTAAATTTTTCTAAAAAACAATATAAACATGATTATTTTAATCAAATAATATTTCATGCAATATTTCATGCATTATGTCTAAGGAAAGTTTGCACAAGAGATAACATAGAAATTTACAAAAGTATGCAAGTGATTTCATAGGTACAAAAACATATAATTTTTACATTTTGAAAATTTTTTTTGGTAACATCTACTATAACGCAAATCTACTCGTTTCTTTTTATTTGTTATCTAAATTTTATCAAGGGGTTTTGGAATCGTATTTTTAATTTCGTTTGATTTTTGTGCTATTAAGGGAGTGTTTTGAAGATTTCGCTTACTTGCGGTAATTTCCTTGGTATTTTCCGGAGTTGGAATATCCGTTTTTGTTGTTTTTAAATTAGAGTTTTCCGCTGGATTTTCAGATGTTGGTATACTAGCTTTTGTGACTTTTTTATTAGCATTGTCCTTTATTTTATCACCTGGTATTTTTGAACGAGTAAAACCGTTATGGTATAAAGCTGGGTTACTTGAAAATCCTGCAACTCCGCCCATTCCACCAATTCCATACCCTAGTCTGTAATTATCACCACTTGCGTAACCGTATCCTACATGAATTGTTTGTTTTTTTGTAATTTTATTTTTTCGATCAATCGGAATATCAGGTATAGTATTTTTACGATCTTTTTTTTCTGTAGTTTTTTTAGATTTTTGAGTTTTTAATTTATTGGGATTGGATTTGTTTTTTAGTGAGCCTGGGATTTTGTTTTTAATCCAGGGCCATCCCCATCCCCATAATCCTGTTCCTACACCTGGATAGCCATGCCAATAAGGATAATTATAATTTTGATACCCTATAGGTAAACAGAAACGTTTTGATCTAGCGCTATCTTTAACTTTTCCGTTTGCAACTACATCACGACAATGAAATGCACCAAGGTGCGATGGTTCTGTTAAATGAATTCCGCTATTGTGGTGACTATGGTGATAATTTTGACCTAAACCCTCATTTTTTCCCCAACCATGATTTCCATGACCTCCCCACCAATCTCCCCACCATGGATAGGCTGACCAAGGGCCGTAACCAACATAAGGATAAACTATTCCTTGTTTTGCTTCAGCTCCACTACTAGTTTCTATAGTTGGTATTGGAACAACATGTCTAGCTATACAATTAGGTTGCGGGTATCGGTGAATTGAAGAATCACAGTCTAAAAATACTTGATCAGGTAAACGGTTATACAGATTTGGTTCAGAATTCATACTTTTACATAAGCATCTTGTGCCTCCATTTGGTAACCAGCTGCAATCGTGACAGAGGCGATAAAAACCCTGAGAGTTTAGTGGTTGAGTAAAAGGAACAACTCCATACCCATATTGCGGTGAAATTCCGCTTGGATAAACGAACGGTCTAGGATTTGCTGAATTTGGAATATTCATTGGAAAGCCTGGAAACGCATAAACCAATCTTGGTATTAGCTTAACGCAACTTCTTCTATAGTTACATTCGTGCTTTTTTTCATCTTTTTCGTGCTCTAGATGTTTTAAATGCTCAAAATTTTTTTCATTGTGATCCCAGTCATCCCAATCATCTCCAAATTTGTCATAACCAAAAGCCCAACACCCTCTGAGATCGTGGTCTTCATCGTGTTGGTTGCACCCGCACTCGTGAAATTGATACCCACATTTCGCACATTCAACATGTTTATGATCATTATGATCATGATCTAAATCTCCACAGCGTTTTGCGGCTTTACGATTTTTTGATATTCTTTTCTTGATATGTCTTTTATGATGACTGTCTTTATTATCTTCATCTAAACCATTATTATCATATTGCCATCCCCCTTCTTCGTGATGAATATGGGGTTTATCCCATGCATCATGACCCCAACCTTCCCAATGGTCTCCCACCATCCACCATTTTTTATTAGCACGCGTGTGAGGTTGCTTAAACATTGCTATTTTATTACCAAACTGTTCAATGTTTGATGGAACAATGTCTCGTTGTCCTCCATGGTCACTTTTATGATGATGATGGTGGTCATGTTCGTGATCTCCATGGTGTTCGCCTTCGTCGTCTCCGTGATGTTCTCCTTCGTGACCCCCGTGTTCTCCCCATTCTTCATAAAACTCATATCCATGGTCGTGATGATGATGATCATGTTCGTGATGATCCTGCTTATGGTGACCGTGCTCATCATCATGACCCATGTGCTCACCATGGTGATGCTCACCTTCGTGCTCATCATGATGAAGATCCTCAAGTTCGCGTTTGTTACCTTTAATATCTTCTGCTCCAGTTTCAGGTTTATCATCAATTATATCGTCAACATCTTCTTTGGTTTCAACTTTACTATTTTCGTTTTCTTCCTACAAGTATAAGAGATTGTCTACATATTATAAAATTACATTTGAGAAAAATTAGTAAAAGCAAAAAAGAAACACTATCAACATTTCGTGAAATGCTCGATTAAACACCCAGAAAGTTGAACAAAATTTTTATTTGTTAAAGCGCCAGCAGTTCTTTACGCATTTAAAACATTTTTAAACTTTTTTAAAAATAGCGATGTTAAAAGTACGAAGTTCGGTAAGTTAGCGAATAAGCGCCCTTGCGAACTTCAAATATAGTAAACTACACCAGATAACCGTATTTAATTCAATGAAACTTTACAAATGGTTTTAGCTTTAAAATTCCATCAAATTATTTTACAAGGGCGCTTACTCTTGCAAGGGCGCTTATTCGAGCATATTTTTTGCAAAACGTTAACTGAATAATCACTCACCAAAAATGTTTAACAATTGTCAGAAATCCAAGTTAAATTTTATTTGTAATGTTACTAGGGCTGATAAAGTGACATCAAGTTGACGCAATTTAAAACTATGATATCATCAAGATATCATTAAATTTAAAATTAGACATAAAAATGTTTAAATTAATTTTTATTTATTATCCTTTATTACATGTTTTTGTAGTCATGTTTACAAGGTTTGAAAGATTACAGAATTTCAATTTTTTTTTAAAGTTTTTGTTTCTTGTTTCGAGTGTTATCGAATGTAATTTCGGAATTTATTTGATTTGTTTTACCAAAAAGTTTTTTTCCAAAATTATTGATTCGCTTCTCTTTCCAAATTTCTTCATTTGCTGTTAATTTTTAACCTAAAGATCAAAAAATCTAGACATTTCTAACTTTTGTATACAAATTATAAATTTGGCTAAAAAAATTTGAATGTTAGTTTTGAATAATGTATGATTTCTCAAAACTAAATCAAGAAGCTCCTCTTACTTTCTAATATTATGAAGCACCCCCCCCCCAACACTCCCACTTTCTACCAAATATATTTTTCTTTCTAAGCTGAGTTTTTATTTCAATTTTCTTATACGCTTCAAAAGTTTAGTAAATGGAGATTGTTATAAAAAGATTTTATCGCCATCGAAGAATTGTTGTACATTAGGGGCTTCTTGATAATTCATGCAAAGTTTCCAACAAATACCTTGAAACATGCAATGTTATTTTAGTTAATCATCTCCATGATTGTGGTGGTGATGATGATGATGATCATGATCATGTTCACCGTGGTGTTCTCCTTCATCGTGCCCATGATGTTCTCCTTCATGTCCTCCATGTTCTCCCCATTCTTCGTAAAATTCGTACCCATGATCGTGATGATGATGATCATGCTCGTGATGGTCATGCTCGTGGTGACCATGTTCTTGCTCATGATGGTCTTCATCACCCTCATGATGACAACATTCATGTTGATGATGGTGGTGGTGATCGTGATGTCGTTTGTTAGCTGTAATGTCAATTTCTTTTTCCGAACTTCTTGTCTTTTCTCCTGTGAGTCTTGCTTTAAGTCCATTCTTCAAAATAAAATGTTTCAGTTGACTTATAAACTCCAATCATATATAAAAAAACTTAAAGTAGTGACGTTTTACGGGTAATTTTATGTAAAACTATCATTAAATTTATTAGAGCAGTTGAAAATAAAGTCAAATAGAAATTATTATTAAAACAAAACAACAAAACAAAACATTTTTTTGTCGTTCTATTTTTCTTATAGCTATTTTTTTCTGTTTTACAACTTGTTGTATTGATCTAGCATAATGATGTAACTTAATTCCCATTTGCTTAATACGTCATTGCTAACATTTCAGTGTAAACAAAATATTATTTTTGCTGCAGACAAAATTTTATTATTGCTAAAACTGTAGTTTGATAACTTTTAAAATAACTACTTGAAAGTAACTTGAAACTACTTTTAAAAAACTACATAAACTATTCTTGACTTTTTGTAAATATAACATTCTTCACTATGATTGTATAGTCTTAAACAAATATATTATAAAATATAATGCAAAATATTTATAAAGCTCTATATATATATATATATAGAGCTTTATAAATATATAAAGCTCTATATATATATATATATATATATATATATATATATATATATATATATATATATATAGAGCTTTATAAATATATAAAGCTCTATATATATATATATATATATATATATATATATATATATATATATATATATATATATATATATATATATATATATATATATATATATATATAGAGAGAGAGAGAGAGAGAGAGAGAGAGAGCTTTATAAATATATAAAGCTCTATATATATATATATATATATATATATATATATATATATATATATATATATATATATATATATATATATATATATATATATATATATGTTTTGCCCTATATTTATAATTTAATACATTTTTTTTATAACATATTTGATTTGACAACTTATGACAAAAAAATAAAAAAAGATTATCAAGTTTTGATAATCTTTTTTTATTTTTCAAGAGATAAAACTAAATTAAACTATTTTAGATTTAAAGTAAATATCTAATTAAATAATTATCTAAGTTATTGAAAACTAAAATTATTAGGAACTAAATTTGTGATAACATATTTGTAAAATTATTTGCATTTACTTAGTGTGTTTGTTTTAAATGTGTTTTTGATTTTACGTTTGCGATGAGTGTGTTTAATTGCAACTTATTACCTTTATTTAAATACCTCTTGAGTGACTATAGTTATGAACTGGATCCCAATTATCACGAGGATCATGAAATCTAGTTCCATGCAATAAATTATTATGATTGGTCAAACCAATATGTTGTCCGTTTTCTTCATGGTGTTTATGCCCAAAAACATATGGTAGACCCACGTGTTGCCCACCATTTATTTGGTGTATGTTGCTAAATGGGATATGATCATTTTCTAAACCGTACCCATAACCATACTTGTAAAGACTAGGAAATCTCTGACTGTAGTCTTGATCAAACCTTCCATGCTTCCGACTGTAATGTGGTCTGTTTCCATGGCCATATCCTAACCCATAATTGTAGCTATTTTGACTTGGAAGTAACCCATGTGTACCAGCTATACCATATGAATCTGCACCACCTAAAAAGCCATTTGGTTCTCGAAATCTCAAACCTGACCCTGACACAAAGCCTGTTGGTCTCCCAAAAGTATATTCGTTTCTGTATCCTTCCGTGAATCCAGCTCCACCATTTGTTGTCCATTTTTTATCATAGTTTATATCATTAGATACTTGTGTTTTACCTGCTTTATTATTTCTAACATTCTCTTCTGTATTAATATTAGCAGAGGCGGGGAAACCTGATTTAATTTTGGATAAAGATCTTCCGAATCTATTAAAGTAATTTCCACGATGGGCAAATTCACCATTATTTGCAGCATGAGCACCTTCATCATGACCCCATTCATGTTGAAAACCACGGTGATGACCATGAAAAGCATGTTCTCCGTTGTGTCCGTGAAAACCTTCATGACCATGACAAGGAGCATATCCGTAATAACCCTGCCCTCCTTGATCAGTACATAATCCGTAACCATGATGGTTTCCGATATTTCCGTGTTCGTGTTGGTGTTTTCCGTGACCTTTTTCTTCACCCCATTCTTCATAAACCTCAAAGCCATGATCGTGATTATGATGTCCACGATCATGATGACAATTTTCTCCATGGCATCCATCATTGAAATTACCACCATGTCCATAGTTATGATTATAGCATCCAAGGCCATCACCGCAATCATGTCCTTCATGACCATAGTCACCATTAACACCATTATTATAACCATGGTACCCTGTATCGAATGTATTACCACTACCATATCCGCCAGCGCCATATCCATCACCACAGTATCCGTGAATGCATTCTCTTTTTTGTCCTTGCGATGGTTTCTGCAACAAGAGAGGAAAAATACTACTTTATTTTCTATAAATGAAAATTTCTTTGAAAATGGTGTTAATGCAATCTTGAATAAATGTGGTGAATAAATGTTTCCATGTTTCAATTCATAAATTTTGCTGTGTTAATTGCGTGTTCAATAGCATGCATTACAACAAACACAAAATGCATGCAATCGCTTACCTTAAATTATCTAAATAAGTTGAAAAAAAAAACATCGATCGTCTCCTTTTTATTACGTACGGCGCAGATATTTATGGGCATCCTCAAGCATTTTACGAAAGTATGTTCATGTGTGCGTATTTCAAAGTTAGTTCCATTTTAGTAAAATAATTAAATAATACTCTATATTTAAAAATCAAACTTTATTGTTAGTTAAAAATTAATTACTGAAGAAGAAATTTTTAAAATAACATTCACAAATTCTCAGAAGAAATGAACTTGTTAATCTATAATACTTGTTATTTTGGTAATTACAATTAATCAGTAATTAACAAATCATCAAATAATCAGTAACTACCAAATCATCAATTAATCAGTAACAACCAAACATTGTTAAGAATTACTTATTATTATGGTTTATAAGATTGAATTCTTTATTGAAAAATGATTTAGTATTCTGGTTGGTAGGTTACTTTTCAAATTTAAGTTTTTAACTTTGTGGGACAAGTGGGAGGTTTTTAACTTATAGTATTGTGGAGGAAGTGGGAAGTTTTTAACTTGTCGTATTGTGAGGGAAGTGGGAGATACTAGCCGAACTATTTATGGGGGAAGTAGGAGATTTTCACAGTTTGATGATAGTAGAGGAGTATTTTTGTAACATATTGAATTTTTGCAAAATGTTTAATTTATGTAACTTATGTAACTTATCTAAATTTATGTAAATTACGTTTTCACTTTATTTTATTCTAGATAGATGATAGACGTTTATCTTCTTAAAAGAAAGTGTAACCATCTGAAAATTTAAGGTTGAATGTATTTTAAAATCTTCTTCATAGATTCCTCTTTAAAAATATCCTTGAGCACAAACCTCTTCTTCAGGTACTTCATCTTTTTTTGCATCTTGATCAACTGTATCATTTTCCTCCACTTCTTGCTGAGATGTTTCTTCAGCAGCTTCTTTTTCGGTATCTTTATCATCTGATTCACTGGCTGAATCATCTGCGTTTTTATCTTCTATGTCTTTCGATTCTTCTTTCGAGGGAGTTGTATCTTCTGATTCGTCATCTTTTTTTTCAACCTCGTCTTTTTTTTCGGTTGTTTTAGTTTCTACATCAGTTTTTTTATCTTCGTTTGAATATTCATCTAACAATCAAACAATTAAAGGTATTAACTAAATTATAAACAATGTTGTAGTAATAGTATTATATTACATTATTTTATATTTTATAAATACATACATACATACATACACACATACATACATACATACATACATACATACATACATACATACATACATACATACATACATACATACATACATACATACATACATACATACATACATACATACATACATACATACATACATACATACATACATACATACATACATACATACATACATACATACATAGGGCCGGCGCGAGTAGGTTTTAAAAAGGGGCGGGAGTGTAGGTATCTGCCGGAAAAAAAAAGATCCTCTATGCTTCCAATTTGCCGACTAAAGATAAACAGTCTGCGTCCCATATTGGCGATTAAAAAAGTTCCAATTTACCTACTGAAGGTAAAAAATGGTCCCAATTCATCACCTGATAATGATAAAAATATTTGGGGGTTGCGAGATAAATTTTCAATAACGCAACCGAAAAAAATAATTTTAACTTAACTAACTTTAACTAAATTTAAACTTATTGACAGATTTTAAATTTCGTGAAAAAGTATTTAGAATTACAAAAGTTATGACCATGCAAATTTTCCAACCCTTACGAAAATGAGGGGGCTGCAAACTTTGCATAGTCATTAGTTTTGTAATATTCAATAATTTTTTACAAAATTTAAAATCTGTCTATAAATTTAGTTTAAGATAGTAAAGTTGAACATTTTACTACATCAGTGCTCTCACGTTGGGACAGGGGAGCGAACGCTTTAGGGCTTTTTTGTTCACAGGCCTCCACCATCCCAGATTTTTGCAAGGCCTCCTCCTTTGGCATAGACATGAACATACTTAAGTTTCCACTTTGCACAATGTGTGAAAGTTTCCTATCTGAAACATCAAAAAAGCCGGCGCATATATATATATATATATATATATATATATATATATATATATATATATATATATATATATATATATATATATATATATATATATATATATATTCAAATCTTTTTAAATTTCACTCATATTGCTTTTAAATTTTAAAAAATGCATTTAAAAAAAAAAAATTTAATTTTAAAACAATTTATAGTAAAAGTTTAAATATTTGTTAATTACAAAACTAAAAATTTTACATGAATTTATAAAAAATTATATAAAAACCTAAATCTTCTTTGGTATCATCAACTTTGTCATCTAAATCGATTGGTTTGGCGCGGATTGTAATGCAGTAAAACAAACAGACTAGCGCAAATACCGCTGTACTTCGCATTCTTGCTACCTACACACCTTCAAAATGTTTAAATTTCTTCAATAATCTGTTACCAATATTTTTTGTGCTTGCATAAAAATAGTTCGCTTACAAAATTTTATATTTGCCTAATATAGAACGAGCTGATTTACTTGCCAGGTTGATTCGCATGAACGGTTCAGTAGAACAAAATTAAAAAACTTCTCACCTGTGCTTGTGTATGTTTAAATAGTTATCGTTTTGAGCACAAATTAAATGCTCAATTGAAACTGTTAAGTTTAGTTTATCATTTAACGCTAAATTAAACAAAACGCAAACTTCCAAAAGCAATCTACTGCGTTTCAAATACTAGGCACGGCTTTTTGTTTGTGAGTTTATATTAGTTTCCTAAGTTTTGTTTACTTATTTTTACTTGCTCTTTAGTGGTGCTCAATGTTGTTTTTGAATCTAAATTTGAACTTTAGGGCAATTAAAATATGACTTCACCCTAACCCCCTAACGTTTGAGAAATTGTATTATACTTGAGGAAGCATTAAACAAAAAAGATAAAAGCAATTTATAAAAAAAATGCTGAGAGCAAGATTAGGACTTTGTTCACTAATCAAAGGTTAAAGTTAAAATTTTCTATTGCGTGGTTAGACAAAGAACTGATGTACCGTTTGTAAACCACTTTTTTTCCCCTTTTTTAAATATTTTGTTTAAAATGAGGGGGGGGGGGGTAGGGGTGTTACATTATTTATCACTTAAATTATACTAGATATGCTAAAAAGAAATTTTAATACTGATCTTCCGACTGCCCAATTTTTTAAGAAAAGTGTTGTTATAACTATGAATTTCTTAACTGTATGATTCGGTACAGCCAGAGATTTAAAAAAATGCTCTATAGTTAATAGTTCACAAAATCGAATTTCAAGTTTTAAAAGAGCTATAATAATGCGTTTGTTTATAATTGCTGTTTTCTATATTTTGTGTATTGTCTTGATTAATGAATAATGGCCTTGATTAGAAAAAATAAAAACTACATAACCTGATTTATAAAGATTCTCTCGGTTTAGAGTGCTTTTTAAAAACGTTATTTCTTATTCTAACCATTCCCGTTTTTATCCACGATCATCACAGGAAAATGCCGGAAAGCCCACCGCCAAAGTTGAGGCCATTTTAAAATCAATGACCTTTTTTATTTTATGAAAGTTATATTAAGTCAACGATATGTTGTAATCATCATTCAATTGGAAAAAGCAGCCTAATTTATTTACATTGATTGGTTTTAAAAGAAAACGCAAAATTTCTTTTCTTGCATAGATAAACTTCGTTCTTGCATATATAAACTTCGTTCTTGCATATATAAACTTCGTTCTTGCATATATAAACTTCGTTCTTGCATATATAAACTTCGTTCTTGCATATATAAACTTCGTTCTTGTATGTAGTTTAAAAATATGAAGTATATGTTTCTTTTACTTTTTTCATCTTGTTTTTCATCTTCGTTTTTGAATGTGGAAGTAGAAGTTTTAAATCATTGTTCTATTTTAACTTCTATTTTATTTTCTATTGATATAATGTCATATTTTAAATTATAAAACTTTGAAAAAATACGACTAAAAGAAATTTGCAGCCATTTTAACTTTATTATGCATTTTTCCAGACATAGAGGCCAGTGCAGGACTAAGAGATTTTGAGGCTTGAGACTTTTTTAAAATAGGGGCCATAACCTGACATACAAACATGAAAAAGTTTCGTTTAACACCAATTCACTAAATTGTCTTTCTTTTATGGTTCTATATTGCTCTCCTTCATTTCAAGATTGTACTCTTTTTGACATAAGTAGTCAAATTTCAAACTTTGAAAGTTGACTATTTGAAAAAAAAAAAATTCAAAAAGTTTTCGTTTCCAACATACTTTCCAGACAATTCGAATCATTAACCTTTTCTACTCAAATTATATCTTATTTCTACTCAAATTCTATCTTATTTCTGGTTTTAGTCAGTGCTCAGCTTCTTCGTTTTTTGATCTCTCTAAAACTATTACCTCATTTTTTTCATAATCAGAATCCACTTATTATTGTACCGATTACAACTGAAGCTGACTGGAACTTGTTCCGTGATTTTCTTTGTGATGACCCATTGACCATTGCTAGAAACCATTGCTAGAAACCATTGTAAAAAGTTTTTGTTTAAAACCAAAGCCCGCTATTCTCAGGTCTCGAAATATTTCATTGCAAAAACTCTTTAAATTTATTGTTTTGTACGATTCAAAAAGCAAATAAAAAAAGTTATTATTCTAAGCTCTAAGAACGTCCAATAGAAAAAAGACATGGGAAATAATTTAAAAAGTTACAGGGAAAAAAAGTTACAAAAAAACACCGAAATACATTAAAGCTAAACATGAACCTAGAAACATTTGATAAGCAAGAAATTGCTGAAAATTTTAACAAACTCTTTATAAAAATGGGAAAAAATTTAGCTGCAGACATCCTAGAAATAAAACATTCCCATCCCATTTTAAAAAAACTTACTATAAAACGGATGAGTTGGAACCGTCTGTAAATGAACTTAAAGCACTTAAAATAAATAAGAGTGGCGGATTAGATGATAATGCGGTAGTGGTGTAGTGGTAGAACGCTCGCTTCATAAGAGAGGTTCCGAGTTCGATCCCGACCACGTTCCTGGTTGTAGTAACTCATTATACAATAACAAATTCAGCCATTAAAATTCTGAACGAGTTTACTAACAAAAATTTTGTTCTTTTCGCTGATGACACTAATCTATATACCCATTATACCCATTCCAATCAAAAAGCATTTTTTTCTACAGTGAATTATGAGCTGGAAAATCTAAATGACCAAAAAAATAACAATATTTTTTTTTCATCACTATCTAAACCCAATGGCTAGCCTCAGTAACTTCTTTTAACTATAAATAAGAATAAAGAAAACAGAGTTGCATCACTTAAAATCCTTGGAATAATTTTTGATGAATATATTAGTTGGAAAGATCATACGCTTATTAAAAACAAAGTTTATAAAACTATAGGCATTAAAAACATCAATAAATTGATTTAAAAATATAAAATATTATTAAAACAATTTTTTTCACAATTATATTTTTGTATTTTTATGCTTAAAAAAATAAATTCATGTTATATTTCTTACTCTATTTATTTATTTATTCTATTGTTGCAACTCATCAAACTTAATTGTAATTACTTATTAACTTGTATTATATAATGAGTAATTGTAAATTTATGTAATGGGAAATTGTAACAATATTTTACGCTTCCTATAGGGTCATGACTTCTACTTGATCATGTCATTTTTAATTTTTTATATAAATTTTATTGATGAAACTTGTGAAACAAGAACATTGTAAAATGTTTATATATAACGAAATAAATAAATTATCAATTATAAAAATAAAAATAGTAGCCGTGGCGCAGTAGTAACGCCTCAGAAACAAAGGATCCGGGGTTCAAACCCCACCTGGGCAAGGTTTGCAATATCGGTTAGAAAAAAGAGAACTTCCTATTAAATGCTTTTCCGCGATGCTCTTTGATAAGACTGTAGGACTTCTGGGGGCACCTAAATAAACATTTAAAAGAAAAAAAAAAAAAATTTTAGTGAGGGCAGTATAATTGGTTTATTTTGAAAAATGTAAATGCTTTTTATACGATTTATATATATATATATATATATATATATATATATATATATATATATATATATATATATATATATATATATATATATATATATATATACATATATATGTATATATATATATATATATATATATATATATATATATATACATATATACGATTTACATATATATATATATATATATATATATATATATATATATATATATATATATATATATATATATATATACATATATATACATATATATGTATATATATATATATATATATATATATATATATATATATATATATATATATATATATGTATATATATATTTGCATATATATATACATATATATATATACATATATATATATATATATATATATATATATATATATATATATATACAGGCCCACTGAAAGGGGGTACAGGCGGTGCACTGCTCCAGGGCCCATAGAACAATTGGGGCCCATTAACCAAAGCTTTTTTTTTAAATAATTACTATAACAATTACAAAAATTTATTAGTGACATACTTTAGAAAAAGATATTCATACACTTAAAAGATTGGCATATTTTGGTCCCACTGAAAAATTCTAAAGAGAATCTAACTAGAACTCAACTAGATAAAGCAAAAATAAAGGGCACACAGAGAAAAAAAGGAGAAATTTCTAGCTAGATTTATACAATATAAATTCTAACTAGAGATTAAAGTACTATAATTTACTGAATCAGTAGATTATATATCCGATTGATTTTTGCAACAAAGTTATTCAAGCAAGAAATGCAACTTTAGATGTGGAAGTGGACAACATAAACCACTTACTGAGACAACTTCTTGAGCTTCGGAATAAATGGAAAGATATCTGGTCAGAATCAAAGAATGTTGCAATGAATTTGGATATAGAAGTCAAACTATTAAAAGGACGTGGTGGTGCAAATCGCAAAAGAGCCAGAGTTGTTGGTGAGCCAGAGGATCAAGGGTTTACAGATTTAAATGAAGATGAGACCATGGAGGAATCATGCTTTAGAAGATTTGTTTTCTATGTGGTATTAGATAGTGTTATTGGTAGCCTTACTGTAAGATTCAAAGCAGCACAGAGCATTTCAGATAAGTTTAGCTTCATGTGGAATTATCTCAATATTGATTTGGATACATTGGAAATGAAACCAAAATTATTAAGGGAAGAGTATTCAGCAGATGTTAGCGAAGATATTGTAATGGAAATAAAACAGTTAAAATCTATACATTATGCAAATTTTGGATCAAATCAATTAAGCCCCTTTGAACTCCTAAATTCGATTAGTCGAACTAATTTACATGGCCTATTTCCAAATATTTGTGCACGCCCGAGTTTATTCTTAACAATTCCTGCTACAGTTGCATCCGCTGAACACTCATTCAGCAAACTAAAACTGATTAAAAACTTTTTAAGAACTACAATTCTACAAGAACGGTTAGTGGATTTGGCAATGTTGAGTCTCGAATCTTCAATATTTAGGTCAATTGATTTTGACAAAGTC